CCCGCGCGGCCATCAGAGCAACTCGACCTGCGCTCCCCCAAGGGAGGCCTGTTTTACCGTCGACAAGCCGGCTGAGGGAGCGGTACTGGTCGTTTTTCTTGGAATGGTTGCAGCGTGAAGGGATTGAGCTGTCGCACCTACTTGATTTCCCCACTATGTATGTTGAGGAGATCAACACGATCCTGACGAAGTTTGGTAGATACTTGTATTCTTCTGGCAAGCCCTATAATCAGTGTGCTGAAACGATAAACTGCTTGACAACGTATGTCCCTAGCCTACTCAGGCTTATGCAAGGTTCTTGGGACCTTGCTTACTCATGGATGGCAGCCGAACCGACTTGTCATCACATTGCCATGCCTTGGCAGGTTTTATTTGGTTTTGCAAGGAGTTTGCGGATTGCAAACAATGTGTCCACAATACATTTCATTAGCCAAAATGGCCTGCCATTTTGGCTCAAGGATCAGCCCCTGATCCGTCAAAGATCGAACTTTTGCGAACTTTTGCGACTTTCGCTTTTTCGCTCTTTTCTGACTTTCGCCGCCATGGCTGAAGTTTTCGACTTCGAACTTTTGGACTCTGCGGAGGATTTCGTGATCCTGGGATCAAGATGAGATGGCCATCTTGGCCGATTACGTGATCCCTGCGGACAAGACTCCCGCCGACTTGGAGCGGGACTTGGAGGCGATGGTGAGTGGCATCACCTCTCTTTCCTTGCAGGCCCCTGCGGAGGAGCCCTCTGCTGGACTTGCGAGCCCTACATCGGCTTCTCCCCCTACGGCATCTTCTGCGGTGGCTGAGGACCCATCGGCGGTGTCCAACAGTTGGATCAGGGAGACGACGCGGGAGTCCCGGCAGGTGCCTCTGGCCCTGATACTGGGATTCCGTCAGCGAGTCCCTCTGAAACTGGTGCCTTGGATGGGGGACCATTCGAGAGACTCGGCAGGCGCTTCACGCCCTGATACCCTCACCCGGATGTGTCATCCTCCCCTGTGCCGGCCTCAGGGGCTTTGTCGCTGCTGGGCAAGCAGCTGCCGCCGGCGCCTTCCTCGACTTTGCGGACGAGCCTGGACACTGAGGCTCCGATGGAGCAGCGCTTGCAGGATCCTGTGACCTACTCCTTTGCCCAGGACGGGAACATCCTTCTGACCAATGTCATGGCTGGCCTTCCCTGCCTCCTGAAGAAACTGGCGCAGCCGCTGCGGAGCATCCAGGTGGGTGAGATCGTTGAGCTTTGCCTCAAGTTTGACGTGAACAAGCTCACCCCGCCGAACTGATCCTGACCAAGGTCCAAACCTTCACTAAAAACTTTCGTCATTCCATCAGCCAACACGACAAGCAGCACCCTTTTCCGGAAGCTCTGCTATGTGAAGTACGCCACATCTTGGTGGGCCCGCGCAAGGACACCATCGACCCGGGACAACCATTCTACCTGGAGGCCATCCATGACCTGGCCAAACAGATGCACGATGCCGACCAGGACTACCCCTCACCCTTAAGGAGGGAGTCCCCACTGGTTGTCTCTGAACCCACTCTGGTTAGCCCGGGGATCTGGCCTACCAAGGCCGAACTCAAGGGTGAAGATCCCACTCAGGACTTTCTTCTGCCCCCTGTGGGCCGGGACAACTATAGCTCGGCAGAGCAGTTCATTGCTGAGATCAAACAAACCTTCCGGGAAGAACGAGACATGGGCATGGTCGAAGGACCCTTCACCATCACTGAAGCGGCAGAGTACTGTGGGTGCACCCCAGAAGAACTCTGCCCGGGCCCTATGGCAGCCATCGATGAGGGAGACAAAGTGAGAACCATCTATGATGGCTCCTGGGGAGGGGCCAATGCACACATCCAAAGACACACGGAGGAATGTACCACAGCGCCCACTGTCATGGACTGCGTCCACTGCCTGCATTGGCTACGCGCCTCCTGTTGGACCTGTCCTTCCAGACGGGCAGGTGCCTCGGGCCCTGATACCCCAAAGGAAGGACAGGGTGAATGGACATGGCCAGAACCGGCCACGGAATGGCACATCCTCAAGGCAGATGTCACCAAGGCACACAGACGTGTCAAGATCCACTCTCGGGACTGGCGATTCCAAGTGGCCCAAATCGGTGATGAATGGTGGGTCAACAAGGTGGGCACCTACGGTATGGCAAGCGCCCAACTCTACTGGGGACGAATGGCAGCCCTCCTCCTTAGGATCATCTATGCAGTGTTTCCTGAAATCGACTGGGGCTTCGTCTTTGTGGACGACTTTGCCTGGCTGCTTCGAGGCCACTTAGCTGACCTACACTCCACCGCTCTACTGGTGGTGCTACTCTCATTGGGCACCCCCTTGAGCTGGAAGAAGGCGGCCCTTGCACACACGAACACGCGGCTTGGATTCGTCATCGATCCATCAGGACCCATTGTCCAGATGGCGAGGGACAAACATGCCCTGGTAATGCAGCTACTGGACCGGCTGGCAGCGGGTGAGGTCTTCACCCTAAAGGACCTTGAGAAGGGCATGGGTCGACTGCAATGGGCAACGAGTGCCTGCCCCCTGACCAAGCCACTGCTCCAACCGCTCTGGCAATGGAAAGGCGCGGTGAAGTCCTCTGGCAAGCCAAACCACCTGATCCGCACCTTTGCCAAGATGCTACGACTTCTCTTCCATGAGCCCTATACTCAATCCACTCCTTTCGCGCCCTGGTCGCCCTGGCACGGGGCGAGTGATGCGAGTGCCTCCACCCAAAAGGAATACTATATCGGAGGTTGGCTCTCCTCTGATCCTACTCCAGCAAAACGATGTGTTTTCTGGTTCCACCTCCGTTTGGACGAGGCTTCCTTCCCATGGCTTTTCAAAACCAAAACTGCCAGTGCCATGATCCCAGCACTTGAGTTACTGGGATCCCTCATCCTCATCGCCTTCATCCTGAAGATGGGGGAACGCAACCAGCTGGCAGTCAAGATTCCAATGATCACGGACAACCAAGGCAACGTCTTCTGCGTGCTGAACAACAAGACGAGGCAGATGCCCACTGCGGCCATTTTGATGCAACTGGTCTTAACACTTCACAAAGGGGGCGCGCAACTTGCCCCACACCACGTGAAGCGGGACCTCAACCAGTGGGCCGATGAACTTACTCATCCAAACCCCACGGGGGTTTCATCCTGAGTTTCACCTTGATGCGAAAAACATTCTCTCAGAGTTCACCCTGATGAACTGGGTCCTCAATCAAGGAGATCTACCATTACTGAGGACCGCCATTTTCCCTTTTAAGCTCCCTTCCAGCTGCTTCACGCGCTGATCAGAAGGGGGCAAACCTTTCTCGGATATGACACCCATGGGTCCTAGACTGGACGCCCGGTGTCAGTCTGCTTTACAGGTTCTCGCCGGCTGATTTTCGAATGCCACCCAGTGCAAACCAGGTGAAGACCTGGCATGGGTGAAAAGGACAGCTCAAACCTGTAAAGGCAGACGCTACCACCTCTCTGAAAAGAGGTGCAAGCTGCTTCCGTGATGCTGCTGTCTGCCTTTTTGGATTGATGTTTGGGGACACCTTGCAATGGTTACAACCAGTCTACTTTGGGGTTGGGTACCCCTTGCAGGTGCTTTGTGTTTGTGTTGGGGTTCCCTGCTCCGAGCGGGGGAGTTTCTGGCTGCACGTCGTGAGACCTGCTCTTACCGAGGGATGTCGATCAAACAATTCATTTCAGTATCCTGGCTATTTTGGAACCTAAAACACGCCATGCAGGTGCGCGTCACCAAGCGGCAAAGTTGGAAGCGCCGGATCTTTTGCAAGTTGTGGACATTGCTTTTGCCCACCTACCTAGCTCTGCAAAACTTTGGAGTATGTCAGGACAAACACTTCGTCAACGTTTTCGTGATGTCCTGACAGCTTTGTTGTTGCCAACGGAACGTGTTGGTGCTTTAAAAGCTCTTGACCTTGGTTCTTTACGAGCAGGAGGTGCTACTTGGCACCTGACTATGACAGAAGACAGTGAATATACCCGGCGGAAAGGAAGATGGCTCAACCACCGTGTCATGGAGATTTACGTTCAGGAGACGACCTCGCTTTTGTTCCTTAAGAAGATCCCTGAGACTGCCAGGGAACGGGTGCTTTTGCTGGCGAGCCTTTTTCCAGAAGTGTTGAAGCTGGCACACCATTGGAACAATTTGAGGTTACCTTTCTCCTTGTGGCGACACCTCTATCCTCAGGAAGCTTGGAAGTAACGGGAGACTTGGGACTTGCTGCTAAAGCTAAATCTGGCTTGCAGCTTGTGACACTTGTTGGATGGAAAACAGTGCGTGGCAACTGAGTTGAGTGGTTGTCCATTAACTACGACATGGTGTTGCCTTCTCAAGCTCACCCACACCGCCCACCCACAACCTGAGATAGAGGCGGGACTTGCTGCTAAAGCTAAATCTGGCTTGCAGCTTGCGACACTTGTTGGATGGAAAACAGAGCGTGGCAACTGAGTTGAGTGGTTATATATATGTGCATACTGCGGCGCATACCTGTGCTATTACAGGTGTGCTTTTCGTTTGTGCGCTCTCATCCGTGCGCGTCCTCACTCGTACCTGTGCTCACATATGTGTGCTCTCATGCGTGTGTTCCAAAACTCTTTCCTGTGCTTTCATATCTGCACTCTCACCGGTATGCTCGCATATGTGTGCTCTGACAGGTGTGCGCTGTTTGCGTGTTCCCATATGTGCTCTCACTCTTGCCCGTGCTCTCATATGTGTGTGCTCATCGGTATGGTCACATATGTATGCTCTCATGTGTATGCCTTCTTATATACGCTCTCACGTGCATGCTCTCATTTGTGTCCTGTCATGAGTATGCGTTCGCTTTCAAAAACGTGCTCTCACGATCTCTCACGTGTGCGCTCTCCTGTTTGTGTTCCCTGATATATTTGTGCTTTGTCCTGTGTTCTCATGTGTGTGCTCTCAGTCATCCTGCGCTTTCACCCAATGTCACTGAACGGCCAATTGCATGGCGCAGCTTGCTGGGCCCCCTGAGGCCATCGGATTGATGACGACGACGGCGTCCAAGTCATGCTTCATTTGTAGCTCGGAACGGGGGATCGACCGATTCGAGTCAATCATGGAGGGATGAACCACTCTGAAGATGTACCAACAGACACTGTAGAAACACGTGTAGTCTTTGATGACCGCGCAGTTTCCAGTATATAGATTGTCATGATTTTTGAGGTTGTTACGCTCTCTGTTTCCTTACCCAATCAGGGGACTTCTGACAGCAGCCAAGGCACTCTGAATGTCGTGTTTGTAGCAATGATTATCGGTGCCTCTTGGCTATTTGGAGAGATATTTCTCCTGTTTCCTCGCTTTCCTGACCTCCCCTCAGCCACTTATGTAACCAAGCTGGACTTTCTTTTTGACACTGACATTGACTCTGAGATCACCAAAAAGAAGTTCGACCCACAGACGCTGATGGCGGCCACGCTGGCAGTGTGTGGAGTCGGCTTTTTGGAGTTGGCTGGCTCGCAGCAATTCGTGATAGGCCGGGCTTGCGCTCTTTGGCTGAGCTTGCAAAGCTTGGCAACTGGCAAGAACCATTTACTCAACATAGTTTCAGGCGAAGAAAGCAAGGCGGTTGGATTGGAACCCAGAATTTTCTTGATCAGCTGGCGCGCGAAGGAGATCTCATTTCCCTTGCTCAGCCCGTTGGCTTTGGCATGGGTGCAGGACCCAGAAGTGGAAAGAGTGCAATCCTGTCAAAAGGGAACTCTTTGCGGTCCAGTTGACGCTTCAGCCAGTCTGTAACTTCTGGTCTCTTTGTGCAAATACTATTTGCAAGCATTTTCTAAAGTTGCTGACCTGTGTTGTTCATGCTATGTTATGGAAATTATCATCAAGTCGAAGCTTGGGATCAGAGTGTGGCTCAGGTTACATCCGCTTAGAAGAGATCATGCAAGATTCCCCTAAAGATGCCCTGCCGGTCGCAGCGGCTGGGATTGCACTTTGTTGGGGTAAAGACGGTAAAGCTCTTGCTTGGTACACCGGTACACCATGGTACACCTTTGCCTTCCACACTTAAGCTTTTCATCCACATTTTGCCCATCAATATTCATCAATTTCTCTTCAAAATCTGTTATTCTCCGCGGAGTCAAGAAGAGTGAAGACGACTTGTCTCGAGAATTCTGCCCAGTCGATATATATATAGTCGAGAAGGGTCGATCGCGCAAAGAAGGCTCACGGTCCTCATGGTATCTCACGGTCGTCTTGGCGTGAAAGGCAAGTGATTTCTCACGTCCTCAAGTCATGTCAAAATCGAATACTTTCATTATATAACTCTTTATCATGCTTTTCTTGAGATAAAATCACGTTGAGTTTCTTCCTTTTCTATCCTTTCATTCTTTCTTATTCCCGAATGCGTAGCGAAGGGTTCTCGTTTAACTGGGGGTCTGGGGCTAGAGCCTTGTTCGCGTGATGTTGCTTGCAGTTCCACAGCCGTTTGCAACCATTTTAAGATCGATAAGGCCCTCTCATTGGTGGAAGCCTTTGGATGGATGGACCAAGTGTCAGATTCGTGTGAAATAGTGCAGAGTGACATAATATTCAAGTGTGAAGGATACTCTGGCTGCGCAGGTCAGTCTTTTGCGCAGGTCAGTCCATTCGGACTGGCGTTCTTGGGTCGGTCCTTTGGAGGTGTTGAACGTCGCTGCGCCTCTGAGATTTGCTGTTGAAGTGCTTGCCTTGAAGCTGTGCTTTCGTGACAAATCTTGGGTCTGGGTGAAGCAGCATTGCGCCGAAATCACTCCAAAGGTGTGGTGTGGTGGAAGTTATGCTACACATGTCAATGTGCTCGATGTGCTCAGCTTAGAGAGTTTCCACTTACAGTTTTAGAGGACGTCTCGTGCGAAATGCTCGTTTGACGTGTCATTTTTGCAGGAAGCCTCCTACAAAATGCTTGCTTTGAAGGCTTGACCTGTCACTGTCACTTTTGGAGGAAGTCATGCGTGACATGCTCGTTTGAAGGCTGGACGTCAGTGGCAGAGGAAGGAACAGTGTCCCACGAGGGTGGCCTACAAAACGTCCGAAAGTGTCCTGCAAGAGTGTCCCACAAGAGTGTCCGACAAGAGTGTCCTACAAAAGTATGCCACAAGAGTGTCTCACAGGAGTGTCTTCCAAAGGTGTCGCGCAAAAGAGTGTCCAGCAAGAGCGAGTTACAAAAGTGCCCTACAAGAGTGTCTTGCAAGAGTGTGCAACAACAATGTGCCATCCCACAAGAGTGTCTTACAAGGGTGTCGCACAAAAACATATTGTTAGAGTCTCCCATGAGTGTTCCACACGTGTGTAGCGCAAGCATGCCCCACAAGAGTGTCATAAAAACCCTCTCACATCAGAAGATCCGTCAAGAGCCAAGAATGTCTTTGAAGAGTTGGAAGAGTGTCAAGCAAGAATGTCAAACAACGTTTGGCTGCTGCGTGCGTGTGCATCTAGTTTCTTTTTCATTTGACATCAACATCACGCACACACATCCTTTCGCATCACGCTATCCAATCTGTCTCGCCTCAACTCACCCCTATTATTACTGTAAGTTCTTTTCCCCCACACACACAGAGATCACACACACCGAGACAACACATACCGAGACAACACACACAGAGATCACGCACACACACCGAGACCACACCGAGACCACACACACACAGAGACAACACACACCGAGACCACACAGACAGAGATCACACGCACAGAGACCACACACACAGAGATCACACACACACAGAGATCACACACACCGAGACAACACACACAGAGACAAACACACCGAGACCACACACACAGAGACCATACACACAGAGGTTAAAGTCTCGCTCCGTTAGAGGGTCTGGTGGTTGCGTGGTCGGCTGTTGTCGGCTGTGGTCGGCTGCGGCGCTGTCCTTTTGTAAATTGCAATAGATCTCGCTCCGTTAGAGGGTCTGGTGGTTGCGTGGTCGGCTGTTGTCGGCTGTGGTCGGCTGCGGCGCTGTCCTTTTGTAAATTGCAATAGATCTCGCTC